GCACATCTGAGGCGACGACGTACGGTTTGTGAAGATATTCGTCGAAGGCTAGGGATGCTTCTTGCAGTCACTGTTGCTGGCTGGAATCGATTTCGTAGGTGTGTTGTTCGAATCCAGTTGTCTTGTCGAATATTGGTTACGCGTGGCCTGCCACTCCGAGGATGGTCTCTGACTGCATTCGCCTGTTGCCATCGTTGCCATAAACACCAGATGGTGTTTCTGTGGACGTTAAATTGTCCTGCAACATCGATCCTGCTTCAAGCATACCAATGGCTCGCACCGCTCATTTTCGGACAGGCATGGCGTTTCGTAATGTTGAATAATTGCTTAAATTTGTTGTGGTTGTTGTCAGCACGATGCTAAACACTGCATATGGAATCCCGTTAACGCACATGTTTTTATACCCATTCTTTGGTAGAGAAATGCATGGGGCTTGCATAAAAGTCAACTTTTCCATGGAATGCATGCTTTTCTGTAGCAGTTGCGTTTTTGTGACTTGATTCCATACATGTACTACAATATTTAAAACCAAACTTTACTTGTTTGAAAAATACACTAAAATATTGGTGTCACAGGAACTTTGGTTGTTGAGTACAATTAGTGTGTTTAGCTACCACATTTCTACACGGTGCTTTCAGGAGTTATTTATATAGTTTTGAGCTTATATGTGTAGCTGTTAGAATTAAAATAATTCAACAGTAGTATTTTAGAACACTAAGACTTGTAGGAGTGAGTTATCAATAATACTTGTATACATAGTGTGATTAGTACTGGAAAATGTGTTCCTATGTACAGTGTATTACTTCTGGTGTGTGGTGTGTGTGAGGGAGAGAAAGCGTGTTTCTGCGTATGATACACATTGTTCGTAGTGCCATTTTATTATTAAGTATATAAGCGGCACACATAGAACACTGCATTACTGTTGGCACCATGGTGGAGAGCCTTCGTCCATGATACGAGATTTTGTATCTGCAATAATATACTGATGTCTGTTCTGCCCTAAACAACTAAAATGCTTCTGTGCTTCGATAAAGTGATGGTCATTGTGTACAGTAAATGTAATAATGAAATGTTATGTCTGTTTAATTATATATTCTTGTAATTATATACCAGTAATTTAACCTCACTATTATGTATTAGGTTATATACTGAGTCAAATTAAAAACTTCACATTTTAAAAAGTAATCCCATATATGATATACAACGGACAAATGTATCAGAGAAGGTAATTTTTAATCATTAATGTCCAAAGAAGGATTTTAATTTACGGTGGTAACCATAATTTGTTCCAAGGTATTCGGTAATAACATCAACAGTTTAAATCATAAGTCCCAAGCACGAGAATCTGATGGCACACAAGTTCAGTAGCGTGTATGGCCACCATGTGCATTGACAACTGCCACACAACGCCTCCGCATGGACCTTGTGATGCTTGTGAACACATGATTGGGACGACGACGCCATTGTTGCTGCAAAATGGTGCCAAGATCTTGCAAATTCTGTGGTTGGTTCTGGAGAGTGCGCAGACTTCTGCCAAGAGCATCCCAGACGTGTTCGATGGGATTGAGGTCGGGAGACCTTGACGGCCAGTCCATGACGTTGACTCCCGCATTCTGAAGGAAATTCCTTGTCAAAATTGCTGTGTGGGGTCTGGCATTGTCGTGTTGGAAGATCAAACCGGGTCCATGTTTTGGAGCCAGTACCTGGTCGTGGTAAGCAGCAGCGTTGAGGTTGCAACGGATGACAAGAAGCCTGGAACGTGCATTGCCACAGAAAGCACCTAACACCATGACACTTCCGCCTCGAAATCTGTCAGCTTCCTGTACACAACACTGGGCGTAACATTCATGACAGCGCCTCCACACCCTCGCCCTACCATCAGCAAATCGAAGATTAAATCGGGATTCATCACTGAAGACGACTTGATTCCAATTCCTCCATCGCAAGTGTCGCTGTGCCCACAATTGACGTTGACGTCTGTTTAATTGAGTCAGAATCGGCCCGCAGTGCTTGAAGGTGAGCAGTTCTCAGACGATTTCGAACAGTTTGCGCACTCAGTCTACCCCTAAACAGTTCATTTATTGTTAATGTAGCCGTCAAAAATCGGTTACGGAGGTGACGTAAGACAATCTGACGATCCTCTGCATGTGACGTCACACGTGGTCGACCTGGCCGAGGGCGATCAGCGGTGGTACCCGTTTGCTGTAGACGCGTCTGTAAATCATAAACAGTCCGTCGACTACAACCCATCATCCTTGCGACTTCAGCTACGGCCGTTCCCGTCTGCAACATGCCTATGGCACGTTCACGTTGCACATTTGAAAGGCGTGTCATGACAAGTGACCGTAAAGACTTTTGTTTTCTTGTGTTTTTCTTTTTTTGTTAATGACTGCTAACAAGTATGGCTGAAAATACGTGCAGTATTATGGCCACGTGACCAGTTGCACATGAAAAACCACTTTTGTCAATATAGTGCTGTGCACATGATTTTGATCGATTCACCTGCACAAAAACGGGTGTTATCTGAAGACAATACGTGGCCATTATTGTTTAAATACACAATAAGGGCCCACAATGACAACTGGTCAAAATGTTAAAATTTTAGGATTTTGAAGTTTTTAATTTGGTTCAGTATATCATCATTTCCCCATATATTTTGTGCTGTGACTTTCATATCCTCGATTAAACTACAGACAGAGTAGATCTCATGACCACCCGCCCCCACCCATCTCATCCAACAATTATCCCTTGTTCTTCCAGCCAAGACGTCGTACCACTGTTACATAAATACACTTAAATGTGAAATATGAACCATTTTTTTTTAAAGCCTCGGTCTGCTTATAAATAGGAACTTTTTTATACCAAATGTCAGTTTCAGTCTTCCGAAATAGGATACACATGTTCATCACTTAGTAGAACAGAACGGAATGTATTCCGTACAGTCTGGTCATGAGGCCAATAGTACAGATGACTGGATAATATATCAGGCACATTGTGACAGAGTGCTTCAATATATATTGGTTTTGGAATTTCTAAGCATTAACATCTTTTTCAAAACGGGGAGCTAGCTGAAATAAAATGCTGTCGTCATTTGTTGTGAGTAACGATATAAACGTGTGCATAGTAGGATATTCATAATAATACAATGGCAAATATCTTGACCTTTAGTTAAGTATAATCTGGACATATGTTAGTGATCGGTATTCGTCATCAAAGTTTTCTTTCCAGAAACTGCATAGACTGTCGGCAAAGTAATGATCACAAGACATTCTATGTTTATGTATTTTAAATCAGGAAGAGAATTTATGGATGTCAACTTGTCAACAATGTATTATGGGGATCACAACGTTTCGGAGTATGTACTTCTTCATCAGGTGAAATTCCTTATGTGTATCACTTCTAAATGCCTTTCAACGACGTCTTTTAAAATGATATGAAGAACATTAATATTTTGTTAAAGCTCTTCTTAAACTACAGTCTCAATCGACGATAGATATTTTTCAGGATGTATACATGTACGTAGTAGGCATTTATAGGTGCGATATAAATCTAGCCTTGGTGATTTAGATATACATTCTGGTCATTCTCGCATAAACAAATCTGTTCATCAATTTCCATGTAATACTTTCTACAGGGACGTCGTTTTCTATTTGTAATGCTTGTCACGTAGTTGGAGTTAATATTCAATGGCAGCAGTATGCATGTGCATGCCAGGCGCGTTGCCTACAAGAAACAACTGTATGTTGTCTGTAGGCGGTGATGGGTTGAGCACACTGATGTCTTTATTGCGCTATCTATCATTTACCCCACACAAGCTGTATATAGACATCGAGCTAGCGACCTTGTAAAAGTTCATGAGTTCCTTGATTGTGGGAGGGAACGTTGGTATGATAGACGTTACTTACCACTTTGTGGTAGTGGGACACTTATCTCTTTCAAAGGGATTCGTTAGCCCACGTTGCTTAATTAGATGCAGTGGCCGGAGGTTTGTATCTTAAAGAGACTTTAAACCTTGAAACGGTTGTTGGATGGTTATTCTACTATGACATTGATTAATACTTGATTGTTGTTGGTCAAAACGGGATTAAAAGATTAATGAGGTAACAAATTACATTTTAACACTTCTTAATGAAGCATTTTCACTTAAACACTGTGCGTGGGTGAGTGAGTATGATTGTACGCGCGTTTAGCAATTTTCCAGCACTATCACGGCTATCACCAGAAATGGGCTTCACACATTGTACCCATGTCGGGAATCGAACCCGGGTCTTCGGCGTGACGAGCGAACGCTTTAACTACTAGGCTACCCGACGGTCCCTCGTGCGTATGAATACACCGAGAGGCTATCCTTCGATCCATTTAAAATTGCTGTCAATAACCGATCCAAACCGTAAACGTTCGACATCGGAAGATTATCGTATTTTTGGGCAATGATACTTTCCTTTCTGGCCTGTTGCTTCTATTGAATTGTGTTTGTCCACATAACATCCCGAAAACACTTATGTCTTCCACAGACCACGAAAACTCACAAATCCCTTTTACTGAGTGGTACAAATTCAAAATAACTAAGCTACTGTTATTTGATAGTTTGTTGCGTTTTTCGTCACCATGGACCCCTGCAATGGAAGGTGTCATGTAGATTTCCAAGAAACGACTTAGGTTGAATCCACACAGTGTAAATAGACAAGAGATTGCGCTGAAATTAAAACTTCTATCTTCGGAGGGTTTATTAACAACTTTTAAAAAACCCCAAAACCTATGTATTCTGAACCATTATTACGAACCAGTCAAGTATACAATTAAGTAAATTTAATCCTTTTGAGCTTGAGTAATTTTTGTCACATTTAACAGTACCTGTAACCCCTTTTGAAATCTTATAAAGAACTTAAGTTCTTTCAGACCACACAAAATATACGCTTCACATGTTTTGATATTCTGACAATACAACAGAATATTATATCAGTACACTTCGAATCCAAAGGAACAGGCGGAGTACTTACCTAACGGGCACGTTATAGCTGGTATTCCTATGTGCGATATGTTATATAGTGGGTACACAAAACCCAGGATGAGATCAGACACTGCCAGGCTACTGATGTAGTAGTTGCAAGGCTGACGAAGTGGTTCGTGACGCAGTACCGTTACGATGACGAGGATGTTGCCAGGTACGTTGACACAAGCAATCAAGAGGAACATTCCGTAATAATATGTCAGAAATATCACATCCAATACGGCAGGCACTCCTTCCAGTAGCTGTGTTGTATTTGTTGTCATAACACTGCGTGTACATATATCATAACACTGTGTACAAGGTAGGTGAGGTCCCAACAGTGTTCATGTTGTATTTGATGTCAACAAAATATACAAAAGGGTTGTTGTAGTTGAGGATAGATGTAATGAAATATTCTTTAAGTGTGACGATGTAAGATTAGCTGTTTATGTGTGTGGCGTCGGAATGGCAGATACGTCATATATACATGATGCATATCGATCTTGAGTACTTCATATAGACATGTAGTGTTACGATCTCCAGTATGTCACGTCCGGATGTAGTGTGAAGATGTCACGCACCTCATATATGCATGTAGTGTGACGATCTCCAGTACGTCATATTCAGAAGTGCGATATCAGCGACGCCATATATTGACGTACTATGACGATGTACAGTACGTGACATATGCATGTAGCGCGACGATGGCAATTACGTCATATATATATATATATATGGTGTGACGATGTCTGGTACATCATATGCACACATGGTGTACAATGTCAGATTCGAACCTTTCTTGACTTCAGTGGTCAGTGGTGAACTGTATACAGGATGTATCTATAATTCATGAAATGGTCCTGAAGACCCCTGTTTGTAAATCCTGACGGCAGAACACTACTCTGTCACGAACAAATCCAGGGGAATATCCATTTTTATATATAAAATGATCACTCTCTTCTTCGAACTTGAGCCAATGTAACAAAAACTGAATTTGACGAAACTTCCTTTCAGTTTTCTGCAACGGATTGATGTTTTTCTGCTGGTAACTTAAACTCCTTTCTTTGAAATCCGCATGACGTGAAACTGATTAACTTGTAACAATAATATTCGATTCTGCTCTTGCCTTAGAGTCAACAATGATCCATTTTCTCCGTCCACCAGATGTTTCGCTCTAGTTGTAAAATTACCGCATTCGAACGACTATCCAAGGATGTCTGAACTTGATTCCACTCCAGGGTCTGTCAATTGAACTCTTGAAATATGTTTTTCCCTAGAAGCGTTATTATAAGACTGCGGATGATAACACAAACCTAACTTCCACTCACGTTATTACCAACTTGTTAGCATGGCAACGCTAAACCGCTGGTCAACTCCTTGAATAGCCTGAGTGTGTAGTAGTTAGGAAACGATTCGTTCAAAATGTCCCACGTCTCCTATTGACATTAAATCAAATAAAGCAGTTTCACAAGAAGAGAGCTAACATAACACACAACTGAGACCACTTCCAAGCGTTTACACATCTCTCCATTTCTCTTTAGCAGCACCAGCCGGTGGATTCCGCTCACATCTAGACTAAATTGTTCTACACAATTGCCCTGTTTTGTCATACGCAGACGATTTCATACCAGCTATTAAGGGTATACTTTTTTTCAATGATGTGCGTCATTTGTGACACAAATCATGCATTAGCATTAGATTGTGTTTGGCCACTGTGGCATGTAGGATACACGTGGTATGGAAGTCGCTTATCTGACATCTGTCGACACTGCGCACTGGGTCAAACGAAGACAGACGCTTCATCTTAGCCTCGCATTCAGTAAACATTTGGTGGTGGTGGTGGTTTGTATGTGTGTATGGCGGGGATGAGAGTGGCGGTGGGTGAGAGGGGTTGGAGCTGGATGAAAGACAGATAACTTATGGGAACTTGCCACTTTTCTGGAGATATTTGTTTGTATCTGATAACACAAATCTCTCATATTTTATCAAGTTATTGACCACCCAAGTGGGATAAGTGCTTTCGACCAACATGTGTTGCTGGGGACTAATAAATTATGATCAAGAATCTACACGTTTGGTCTTTTGAGTTTTGGTTAAAAATATGCGTTATGATTGTACGTTGGTTAAAGTAAAGTTCAGTATAACATGTTAAGCTGTACCGATGTAATAATGGTTTTGTACCAAGATAAACATTCACGAAAACGTTCCCCTGTAAAGACGTGTTCAATGTGTACACGAAATGACGACATTTGAAGGAAATCCCCCAAATGAGCTCACATGAATTTACATTGGACATTGGATATCCTATTCTAAACAACTGTCACTAAACAGGAAGGAAATATTGCATCATATCGGAATAAACGTGTACCCATCACTCTTAAATCTATCTGTACGTCATACGTCAGATATTATAAGGGGTCGTTAACAATTACCAGCATCATTTCAAGTTTAGTGAGTGATGGCGCCCTTTCGAGCAGTGAACACTGCATCATGACAATATTAATCACACAAAATATAAACAAGTTTTAAATAATTTACATTTCACAGATTACATCCAGTTTACGTTGACAATTATATGATTACATATCGACAGATTTACATGCACATGGCATACGAGTGGGGTTAAGTGTTAAGAGTACCCATGTGGATTCTCAAAATACTCAACGGAGTTGCTTGCCTTTTTACAATCTCAGAAAAGAACCATGATCAATTCTGTCAAAACATTTGATGTATCAACTTTGTACACCACTATCCCACATTGGAAACTTAAGGAAAACATCCTTGATCCATGGAGCTTTTGTTACGAAACGCTGCATGGGGACTATAGATACAGTCTATCTTCAGAGGTTCAATTTGTCAAAAATTGAAAGCAAATGCCATCTTAAGTATACTGAGAAAACAAAATGTGAAATGCTGGACTTCCTCAATGACAACATCTTTGTAAAATTTGGGGGTAAGACATTTAGGCAAGAAGTAGGCATCCATCCCCATAGGCACCAATTACGCTCCCCTTCTTGCTGATCTGTTCCTTATGTATATGAATCGGAATTTCCGCTTGGGCTGGCAAAGGCAAATAGCCAATTCCCTGCCACTGCTTTACCAACCTGAACTAGAACTAAAGGAGACCAGTGTACAGCCTCATCTGTTTATATTTAGAACTGTGTATAACGTTTCTGAGTAACAAACCATGCCCCACAAGCCTGTATGAGGGATGACGTCAACTTTCCCAAAGTTGTTCCTGCAGCTGCAGCCCTTGGTGTCTACATTTCACAATTTTGAGGCTCATTCGAGCATATCCTATCTACTAAGATTTCAAAGATCGTCGTACGTCTCTTGCTCAGAAGGTGTTTGATCAAAGTTACAACATTCAACGCCTGAGGTAAGCTTTCAAGCCTTTTTATGGTAGACATGTGAGATCATTTCTAAATTTGACGCATCAGTGACAAAAATGATAATGTTATATATAACAGAAATTATTCAAATTTAAACATGTTGAATATACATTCTACCCTTCCAAAGATGATGCAAATATTGTATTAATTTCAACGTGTACAAGAATACCTAGTGTGTAGACTGGTACAGAATTAGACCAAACATTATTCTATGACAGACTCTGATCGCGGATCTTCCGTTCTCTCATGTGGATGTGGTCAGGTAACAGTGACTGATGCAGATCCACCTTCAAAACAGAGTATTTATTAGACAGCAAGCCTGTGCATCAATCAACAATATTATTGTCGATCTGCTCTATCATACCCGTCCTATCCATCTGTCTTTGGAGCCATGCAGTTACATTGTTTTGGTGATTTAGGAAATCGACGCTAAACTGACGACAGATAAATACAATCATAGTAACAAAGTCAAATGTAACGTTTAATGGACATTGTGAGGTCATCACATACTGGTAATGTCGTCATTACCAACAGGAGACAGACTGCATCAATGATTGCGTGACAAACACAAGTAGACAATAAGTCTATGGCGATGGTGTAGACTGCGTTTGAAACAGTTCTAATGGCATATTAATGACATACATGTAGCTATAGAGAGGATATGCCGCTCGTAAATCAGCTTCCTTTCAAAAGCTGATATTTGTTTGCGCTGGTATGACGTCGACTGGATGACCAGGATCAGAATTATGTTTATCATAGCGTACTACAATGTACATGTATGTCATTGGAAGTTACACACTCCTTTTTCTTGTAGAATCGAATGATGCGCTCATACAGGTCGTAGGGTGTAGAGTTATAATGATCTGTGAGTTCTACGGGATGGGTGTGTTTAGTGTGTTTGTTCATCAGAATACACAAGCGTATCTTCTTATCAAAATATGTCAGTCTTGTGAACGACTGTGTTTAAGTGATTGTTTTATCACTGCACATGGACCACAATATGATATGTGTATCATATTTGTCAAATTGTTCAGAAATACCGATGCTTTTCCAATGTACTATCCGATACCATCTTGTGATCAGGGTCGGTAAATACTCACTTTGACCCGTCAAGATCCGGGATAGAATAGGTCTTCAGCAACCCATTCTTGCCGTAAAGGGCGACTATGCTTGTGTATCAGATCAATATTTGTCGATTTTAGTCAAGACCTCTATTTCAATTCAGTTGCTTCACCACTGTACCGTCATTGTTTTGTTACAACCGTGTATAATTTTTCACGAACAATTTCCCTCAAATACATGGGAGGGGGGCACGGGTGGCCCAGTCGTCTAAGGCGCCGCGATTCGCTGTGCAGAGTTGCGTCCCTTGGACATGCCAGAAACCTATGATTGTGGGTTCGAATCCCGGTTCGCCCCGATTATGTTTCTAGGTTTGTCAGCACCATACCCGTGCTCATGGGTTTCACCGAAGTGTTAAACGTCTGAGACCTGCATCACGCCGTGATAAAACTGGAATACTGTTAAAAGCGGCGTTAAACCTAACTCACTCACTCACTCACTCACTCAAATACATGGAGCTGAAACGTCAACATAAACTTTTTCACCATGTGCAGTTTTGTAGTCATGACATCTCTGCACATTCAACCGCCTGTTTCATTTGATACAGGTGTAGTTGGTTGTATTTGCGCGTTGGCTCTTCGTCGAAATACCCTCGTTCTTTCTTTATGAACATAAACGTCGGTACGATCCCACGAAAATATTTTATCATTTCATTATGTGATAACCTATTTGCTAGTCAATGAAATTAACAAACCATATCTTTTTAATTCAATACCTTGTCATTCAGAATGTCACAGAGGTTGGACACCTCCATACACTGACATTTTCCCACAATTCACTACGAATAGAGGGTCAATGCCCCACACCCATCAATACATTTATGAATGAATATTAAATTATTGTATGGATTGCATATACATCTCACACAGATGAGATACATTTTGCTTAAAATAGAATGCAAATGTTGCCTGTGTAACCCGTTGGGCACCCGTGTCACATGCGTGTTACACGCGTTCTCAAAAATTGAGGTCGAAGAAAAATTATTATAACAATTTTTGAGTTTCGAAATATGGCTAGTGTGGCGGCTATGTATAAGATCGGATCAAAATCCTGTGAGCACACTTTGGAGAGACCACAACTAAGGTCATTCATGCAAAGTTCTTATAGTTACGTGTAAATACAGTCATGCAAGCCCACTTGAATTTTCAGTTTGCAGTTAAAGAGACAAGTAATTATTTGACGTTTACGATTGGCGACAGCCAGTACAGTGTGTCATTTGTTTGCATCGGTATTGTGTCCCTAACACACACCACATTTCATTATGTATTGTTCAATCAAGAATGAATCATCAACATACTTACATTAGTTTAACTAGTTAAACCATAGAACCATACCAGCATAAAGTTGCAATTTACCAGAACATTTATTTATAAATTATTGGATACCATTTTCAATGGTGTGTCTGTGTGTTCACCAACAAACCAGTTATTTTCCATACAACTTGTTAGTAATTGGAAAGTTTGGTCACTTCATCATCACATGCCTCTGACATTATGCACAGATGAAACATTAGCATAGCCACGTATTTCATACGGAACACGTTCTGCTGCCGCATCCTTTGGTTACATTGTGGAGTAGACAACTCACATGTGTTGAAGGAATACACTTCCTGATATAATGCGAAATGGGTGCATTAAAAAAATAAAATTATATAATGTCACGTTTTATATAACTGACAGTCCGTATGTTTTATATAACTGGTCCGTACATATATATATATATATATATATATATATATATATATATATGCGCAGCACATATGTTATCTCGGTAGTATGACAAAATGAACGTAAACATGTGTCAGTTTAGACAATGAGATAAATGTATTACATGTAAGGATAGATTCTACATCCCCCTCCCTCTCTCGCACACACACCACATTATTTACTGTAAATCGTCTGATTTTACCTGTAGGATTTGATGAGTTTTACTCAAAACAAGTTGTTATGTCTGGTTTTACGTGTCGGGCTTTGGTAGCTGCGTAAATAAACATCGGCGTGCAATGCACAGCGTGTCCAAAAGTCAAATGTGATGTTATGATTTAGCATAACGCGATTTAGTAGAAAAGATGGTCGGCAACATCCGCCGTGATTGCATTGGGTCA